AAGTCAGATACCGATGGTGTGCTGCCTCCAAGTGTATTGTATCGTATTGGCAAATTCACAGAGTAATTTCCTTGAAAAAAGCTCTGATTGCATATCAATGATTACCCCTAGGACACTGCACAAAATCCATACCTTTGTGGAGGCCCAGCAGAGCGGCAGCAAGGTTAAGCAGCTTTTCCACCAGGGCGAGATGAGCAAACTGCTCAGAAACTGCAAGAATGGGCTGAAAGAGGGGTTCGATTTTTTCAAGGTGAGACTTGGGATGGTATCAATTGGATGTGACACGAAAGGATAATTCAATCATACCTCCTAGATCAAGGCCACGGATATCATTATAGATCTTACAAAATTCCAAGAAGAGGCAATAAAGAGACATGAAGAAGTACTTGCCATGATTGATGTACTCTCCGATACCGCAAGTTCAGACAGAGCATCTATGGTATGGTAATTTTCGGTCCACTGCCTATTTTTGCCAACTGCAATCCAGACGAGCAGGGTCTATTCTCTATCTCACGATAGGTATGTGTCCCCCAATCCTGCAATAACATCATTGAGACTTTGAAAGCTCCAAATCAATTTCAATGCTGCCATCAGAGCCAAAGATATTTCATGGCCGTGAATCAGAATTGTCTGACATCCTGCAGTTGTTCAGGATGAAAGCTCCCAGGATAGCTGTTTTAGGCACCGGTGGGATGGGGAAAACTAGTCTTGCCAGGGCAGCCCTCCATCATCCAGAAACCACTGCCAAGTATACACAACATCGATATTTTGTTGCTTGTAACTCCGCAGCAAACAAGGTCGAACTTGCAGCACTCATTGGAGCCCATCTAGGACTCAGGCCTAGCAAGGACCTTACTCGAGCAGTTGTCGGATTCCTTGTCACAGCCTCCCCTAGCCTGTTGATTCTTGATAATCTGGAGACAGTCTGGGAGCCTACAGAGATGCGTGGTGATATTGAAGAATTTCTATCCCTCCTCACAGATGTTAAAGACCTGGCACTGATTGTGAGTGTCAGTGTTTCATTTCTTTGACTTGGCTCATGCAACACAGATTACCATGCGTGGAGCTGAAAGGCCAAGTAAAGTAAACTGGACACGGCCCTTTCTTCTTCCTTTGCATCCCTTGGACAAAAATGCTGCTCATCAGACATTCATTGATATTGCGGAGGACCATCATAATGCAGAAGAGGTGGACAAGATTCTCTCACTGACAGACAACATGCCTCTTGCAATCAATCTCATTGCCCATTTGGTGGATGTAGAGGGATGTTCCAGTGTATTGTCCCGCTGGGAGGCAGAGAGAACCTCTGTGATTTCAGAGGGTTATGACAAAAAGTCCAACTTGGATGTGTCAATTTCACTCTCCTTGTCTAGCCCTAGGATCAATGCTGTCCCTCATGCACAACAGTTATTAAGTCTCTTGTCAATGCTTCCAGATGGTCTTTCAGATGTTGAGCTCCTCCAGAGCAAGCTCCCAATTGAAGACATCTGGAATTGCAAAACAACATTGATTCGAACTGCTTTAGCCTTTCTGGATGAAAAAAAGCGACTAAAAACATTGCTACCCATCAGGCAATATATGCAGAAAACTCACCCGCCTAGAAATGAGCTTGTCAAGCCCCTTTTCAAACATTTCCATGAGCTGCTTGAATTGCACAAGGACTTCTCTGGAACTGAAATGAATTCAGCCACAGTTGGGCAAATATCGTCAAATTTGGCCAATGTCAAAAGTTTACTCCGCAATGGACTCCAAAAAGACCACCCAGACTTCACAGATAATGTTTTTAGTGCCTTGTATCTGAATCACTTCAGCCGAACAACTGGCCGAGGGACAATTTCTTTGCTTGGCTCGCTCCATAAAATTCTTCCATACTCACGTGACCATCGGCTTGAGGTCTACTTTATTACCGAGTTATTTTTCTCAGATATCTCTGCATCAATCTACGATTCACAAACACTTGTGGCTCGGGCATTAGAACATTGTGAGTACTTTAATGATCCAGATCTTAAATGTAGGCCCACCTTTTATATCTTGTACATGAAGACTGACTTCAGTGGTTTCAAGGTAAATTCTACATTAGTCTTGCACACTATTATGCAGCCCATAGTCCCACTTTTTCTGATGTCATGCACTTTTGTCATCTGGCTATATTGTTGGCAACTACATCAGGCAACACAAAAAGACATTCCCAAGCATTACAACAGCTTGCACGGATTGAGTGCAGGCTTGGTAACTATCTTCCAGCCAGACAACATGCATGTGAGGCACAGAGGTTGGCCAGGCTTTCTGTCAATTTACTCACTAAAGCACATGCACTCTACTGGGAAGCATGGTCTGGATCGAACTTGGTAACTACCAAGAAAGCATCTCTCTCTGTGATAGAGCAAGGGAGCTCCTGGTCCTTTGTGGTATGTCCAGTGGGGTCATAGACCACCAAATTATGAACCTCCAGGCACAGATTCACTTGTTGAAGTCAGAATACTGCGAGGCACACAATATTCAAACTCAGATTATTCAAGAATGCCCACTTCACCGGGAGTCTTATCAGCATGGCTCTGCTTTGCTGGAGCTCACATTAATTAGCTTGTCTATGAATGCTCCCAAACATGCAGTGGAACAGGATATTGAGAGAGTCAAGGAAATATTTCTCCCCATGGAACCAATTGCGGAGATCACAATGTGTGATGCCATAATGGCGGATCTCTACCTGAGAGAGGGAGACATTCCGGCAGCAGAGGCACTTTCAAACAATGTCTTCAGCTCCCACCCACTTAGAAGTCAAATCCTTCTGTTTGGAACAACTTGGTAACACTGGATGCTGGGGTGCAATTGGTTCAATGTCCAGTTGGACAACAGCTTACCTTGCACATTCTCTCAAATTCAAAGAGAAGTTAGGAATCCACAAAGCCCTCCAGTTTCTGGGAGACATCTTCCTTATTCAGGGGGATGAAGACACAGCTGCCAGTCTATTCACAATTGCGCTAGAGGGATTTGAATACATGGATGTCCATCGCAGCAAAGGTGAATGCATGCTCCGACTTGGTGACATTCACAAAGGACATGGTGCTCTGCTGAAGGCAGTGAAATTTTGGGATGCAGCAAGGCCACTCTTTGAAAGATCATCACAGACTAAACAGATGCAAGGCATTGATGAAAGACTGGCAAGCATTGGCAAAGATATACTAGAGCAGCACAGAAGGAATTAGCCTGCCTCGCACAGATCAATGCATCCACTGGAGTTTGTGGAAGAGGCAGAGGATGATATATGATATTGAGGACCTGCAGGAGGATCTGGTTGGTGTAGTCGTGGTTTAGAATTCCAGCGAGCTATGCAGAATTGGTGAAGTAGTTTTCCATCTCTATGGTTGCTCTACATGCAGCACATGTATCTGATCTGAAGGTTGGCCAGGCACTGTTGTATTGATTGATTCTGAAAGAAATTGGGAAGCAGGGTTCGGACCCGAATCGAACGGGTAACTGCTACGTATACTTCCCCTGACAGCTCTGATAAGGTGCAGGCGCGGACCATCCGCTACGGAGCCGACAGCCATCCATGTAGCTGGTCAATACACCCTCCCAAATGTCTTGCGGTAGACTTAAACTCTGGTTCATTGCTATCAAAAAAGCTTCGTCTTCGCTGTGATACATTCAATACTAGAGTATTATTCATTATGGTGACTGCCTTGGATTCCGAGACATCATAGCTGATTCAGACCCCATGGCAAAAGAATTGATTGATATTATAGTTCCTGCTTACCGCTACCGGGGATACTCCGAACAAGACATACAATCAGACTGGTTTATTTAACCTCTCTGCAGACATTTCTCCCTTGCCCCAAATTATTTGCCATTCAACTAAACTGTCCAACAAATCGAAAGAAGTTTCCGGGGATACACTCCGACCAGGGCCAAATTACAACTTCCCCTCCTTGGCCAGCTCTCTAAATGTCTCGATCCCCTTGTCCATCGCTTTCCCAATGATCGCGTTCAGCTCCTTGGCGCTGGGCTTCGGCTTGTCCGCAGGGACCCCGGGAACTAGGGAATGAATCAGTCGACTGAAACCAAGCAGATTACCCGTGGACGAATTCCAGAAGTGTACTCACGTCCGTTGCCAAAGCTGTAAGTGAGCAGCAGCTCGTCTTCGACACCGTAGGAGACAATGTTCGTAATGCGGAGGCCGGTGCTCATCTCCATGTACATCTGTTCCAAGCGCGTGAGGACCGCTGCTCTGAGCCCTGGCAGAGAGAACGCACAATGGTCGGGGCATACCCCTCGCTCTCCTCCGTGAAAGTGTTGGGCCCCATAGTTAATTCGCGCGTCATCTACGCCGTCCCCGGTCAACATCTACCTCAAAATGCCTAGTCGACACACCTTATCCCCATTATCGACAATGGTCTTGCTTGCAGATAGCATCGCTACGAAGGCCTGATCGTCCGTCGGTAAGGACGAAAAAGGGTGGGTCAGAGAAGCACTACGTACAGTCGGGTTACGCAATTTATATTCAAGCCCTTTCCAGAGCTGCTCCTCCGTGAGAACAGGCAGTGCCCCCAAAGGGTTCACGGGGCGGGTAATCGCGAATGAGTGGCCCATTCTTTTGAAAGCTCGAGAAAATGCCAGTGTGTGGTGTTGGGGAACTTGGATTATGGGGACCCTTGGTTAGTTCGTGTCCGGTTTTATACGGCGGTTGGATAAAAAAGGATTGAACCTTGCCGGAGGACATGACGCGGACGGCTCACCACTAGTAGTGCTACGTAACACCGGCGGCTTGGAGACAAAGACAGTATGCATCAGCACTTGAATGTCAGCGCTGAGAAATCATGGGGTGTGCTTAATGAGTGGGACAGGATGAACTTGATGGGGTTGGGAGGGAATGCCGCGCCTGCGGCAAATTGCCGCGGCACTGACGCGCATTGACGCGGCATTGCGTTCAGGTTGAAGCAACGAGTCGAACCCGCGCAGTGCAAATAAAAAGCAACGAAGAGTTATACATAGAATATGCATGGCTCGGACCCGAGTCGAACGGGTGTCTCCTGCTTAAACCGCAGGGTTGCCAAAGTACGGAATGCAAGCGCGGATCATCCGCCACCGAGCCGATATAAGCAAGCACTGTTTCCAGGCTCGGTATACGACGGCATTGAGCGCTTACTAGCGCTCAGACCCGAGTCGAACGAGCTTGATCTGCTGGTTCAGCCTCTTTTCAGCCTAAATAACGCAGGTGCGGACCGTCCGCCACCGAGCCCATACAGGTATAGTATTCTTGCTCCTCTGAATGTATTATGTGAGGCCTAGACTTTTGCGCGCCGCTGAAAGCGGAGAAACGAGAGTCGCACAGAGTATGGCTCGGACCCGAGTCGAACGGGCATCTCCTACGGACTGATTTCTAATCTCTTTTATGCTACCACCCACAGATGGCGCAGACGCGGACCGTCCGCCACCGAGCCGATACAATTATCCTTGTCAATCTCGAATCTCGACATACGATTGCAGGCAAGCTACCTTCTAAGTCATCCTAGACCATCTGAATCAGAATCGTGGGGTTGAGTGACGGGATTAGCTGGACCTAGGCGGAATGAAAAGTGTTAAATGTAGCGTTCCGGTTGTATGCCTGCCGGGGTGGCTCAAACGTGGTTTTTTTTTTGAAAAAAAACAAGATTTGTAGGGAATGAGGAATGGCTCCCGCCCGAGTCACACGGGTAACTCCTTCAACGGAAGGAATGCAGGTGCGGACCGTCCGCGACCGAGTCGATACCTACTTACTTGGCTTCGCTGTTACCCAGCACGAACCGCACTCAACGCGGGAAATTCCACGCCGCCGCAGCAATTTATTCGGAGACCGTCGGAAGGTCAGCAATGTTACGATGCGGCCCATCCAGCCCGTGAACGTGTACGTATGTCGTAGTGTAACAATCCTGTGGTTCGATTGTAATTGTCTGGAATGAGTTCTGCGTTGACCGAGAAGTCGGATATTAATCATGCCGCGTTAATTGTTCAAGGAATTGGGCCAAACAGCTAACACCTCTGAAACACCCCATTCGGCCCCTGGATGTGTACGTATGTTACAGTGTAATACTGTTCTACCGTTCCATGTGCGGTCTGTCGATATCTTGTGGTTCGATTGTAATTATTTCCGCCTCGGCCGAAAAGCCCGAAGTTCAATATTAATTGTGCTGCGTCAATCCCTCGACGAGTTACGGGAAGGAACACGATGCTATTCCCGCTCTTACACCAGGATTAAGTCAGTGCGACACTCCAATCTGCCTGCTATGTTGAAAACCTAGTCTCTCTCGACAGACGCTCTATCAGTACTTAGCTCGTACCTCGCTTGATAGAGTTGAAAACCAGGCGCCTTTCGCACGCATCAACGCCGCTCGGGCCGAGACTCGCCAAGGGATTATCCACGTGCTGATCGGCGGCGAAAAACGCCACCATCGTCGCCACGCTCCGCGCACACGGGATGATATCCACAGGGAGAGTGAAGCCTAGGGCAGCCGGCTGGTATCGAGTGCGTCTACTTGTGTTCCACAGGGAGCCAACTAATGACCTCATCACCTTCAGCGACCCATCGCACCACCTGACCGCCCTTGCGCCCTTCCCGCCGGACTCGCCGCCCACGCCCCTCTCATCCACCCTCTCCCTCTCATTGCCTTCTACACCAACTAAGTCCAACTCCCGCTCACAAGGCAAGCAGAAAGGGTCCACGATGCTGCGCCCCTCGGACGTGCCCATCTACCTGCGCTGGGCCGTCTCCCCCAACGCCGCCCTGACCCTCCTCCTCGCACTGCCCACGCACTACCTGCTCCCGCACCTCCCCCTCCCCCCCACATTGACACTCGATCTCCAATTCCTCAGACTCCCCGGCTGGACCTGGACCGCCCTCCCCACCAACCCCTTCCTCCCCTTCTTCCTCCGCAATAACCACCCTTTCCACGCACACGCAGACGCAGTTGTACATCAAAGGCCCGCTCGACATCCCGCTCCTCCTCTGGACCATCGTCCTCTGCAGCTATCTGCGCCTGGTCTTCACGCAGGAGGTGTTCCCGCGGGTGGCGCGGTGGTAAGGTGGCGAGGTTTGGGGAGCAGGGGTATACGGTGGTGTATTTTGCGGTGGTGGGGGTTTGGGGCGTGGTGATTCTGCTGTTCTTATTCTTTTGTTCTATTTTCGTTTCTGCCTTCTTTGGCAATCGTGCCACTTTCCTTCTTTCGTCGTCGGCGTCCGTCGCGATGGCGATTACGCGGCTCGTCGGGTGCGCGTCGGGCGTTGCTGCGTGCAATGCATCCGCATCCCTCGGAGCGACGTGCGTGCACCGAGGCGACGCCGACAGTCCGGATGCTGCCTGTGCGTCATACAGCAGTAGTCGTCGCGCGAGTCGGCGGAGCCTTCGCGGTCGGGCGTGCAGTGATTATTTGATTTTGGCGGCGCCTCCGTCCCCGCGTACGCACGCAGTGCTACCATCCACGGACCGACGGGCTGCGCACGCGCCGCGTCTTTCACGTCGGTGGCGAAGCCGTAGTCGCGACCCGCAGTCGCGAGCCGTAATCGCTGCGCGTTGGCGTCCATGGCATTGCTTCGTGGTCCCGTGCTCAGACGTGCGCCGAGGATTCACCTTGACACACACTCCCTTATCCTTTTCCGTTGCAATCTCACCTTGCCATGCTATGTGCGGAACACTGCGCCCAACGTCGACGCCCTTGTCCCACCTTCACTGTGGTGTCCGCATACCATGACGCGGTTGTCTGCTATCCGGCGCAAATGCCGCACACCGGGCGTCGAGTATCGTGTCGCATGCGCGCGTACCTGTTCTTCCGACGCGGTGGGGGGCGATCTTGCGCGCGTCGCGCCTGCGCATATGGTCGAGACTGGGTCGAGCACAGCGGCAGCGGCGCGCGCAGATTCATTCTGTGTGCCCGCCCCATGCCCATGTCTTCTTATTTCCTTCGCCCTGTACTCTATCCCCATACTGAACCAAATTAACAGCAAACCCTCCTCACCACCCCCACCTCGTGGTTCCACACCCCCGCCTTCTGGCTCGGCTACCCGCACACCCATCTGAGCGGCGCGATGAAGAGGTATTATTTGGTGCAGATTGGGTATTGGGTGCAGCAGTGGGCGGTACGTGTTTTCTTCCTCCTCCTCTCCCGATTACGTTTCGTATTTGCGCGCGCGTGGTTTTTCGTATTTGCGCGCGTGGTTTTTAGAGGTTGTTTGATGGTTTGGGGAGGCTGCGGGGCGCGTTAAGGCACGCACGCACGCGCGGAGTTGGGAGGGCGGAGGCGGAGGCTCTTTTCTTTTTCTTGACGAGTTGGACACGTTGTCGCGTTACCCGAGCGAGTCGGGGGTTCTTTCTTCGCCGCGCAAGGGAGTTTTCCTTTGGCGGCGGTTTGCGGAGTTCTCCTTTCGCCGGGTGGTGGGGACGGAGTTGGGCGAGGAGGTGCGCGGGTTGGAGTCGTCCATCTGTCGCGCGGCTGAACTGCGCTGAAATTGGGTGCGCGGAGGCGCATGGGACGGCACGGCACCTGTCTCCGCCTCTCCCTTCCCTTCGTCTCGGGGTATCTATTATCGACGGCATTCTTTCTTGGACGTGGCGCGTTGCACTTTTCCTCGCGCCGTCACTCTTCCTCTTCAATCATTCATTCCATTCTTCCTCCTTCAAGCTCTCGCATCGCAACCTTCATCTTCATTTTCATCGAACTGACATTCATTCCCACACCAGGTCCTCCTCCTCGGCCTCGAAAAACGGCGCTCGGACTACTGGGAGTACATGGTGCACCATTTGGTTACGGTTTGGATGGTTAGGTGCGTTTCACCTTTGGGTTTTTATTTTTTATTTTTTTTATTGGAGAGTGCGATGCGGAGGGAGCGATGGTTTTCTTGAAACCCGCCCATACCTCGTCGTGGCGCGGACTCCTTCGCGCCTTGCCTCTGCGATCCTTCCCTCGGCATTGTGTCGCCCTTGCCTTGCACGAACGAGGAATTGGAATCGACTCGCGCGTTCCAGAGCAAGGAATCGGAATCCCCTTGCGTGTCATGGCCAACGCGCAGTACGGCGTTTCTTGTTTGCTTCGGCTTTGGCGCGGTGGTGCTTGGTGTTCTGCAAGCGCGTCAAGCTGCTCGGCATCGTGACACCCTTCCCCTTCCCTTGCACGAACGTCGGCGTTGCTCCTTCCCATTCGCGTGTTGCTCCTCCGTGCGAGAGCGAGGAATCAGAATCGGAATCGTGTTGCGCGTTAGGGCCAACGCACTCCGGCGTTTCTTTTTTTGGCTTTGGCTTTGGCGCGTTCGTGCTTGGCTTTCTGCAAGCGCGTCGGTGTCGAGGTGGTGTTCTCGCCGCTCGGCGGGCAACAGAAGTGGCAGTTGTCATCATCAACGTGCGGGGCTCGTCTTGTATGTCTTTTCTGCGTGCGCGAGGAGGGCGCAGTGTCGTGGGAGGAGTACTGCTTAGGCGAATTTTATGCTGCGGCGGCCCCAATCTTCCTTCTTCTGCGCCATCATTTGTGTTCGGGGCCAGCAGGGAAGGGTACTATTGACTCGGTGTCCCACATTCGTAGCATTCTGCGCACTCTTCTTGTTCTTCGCGTAGTACGACTTCTCCTTTTTTCACTACGCACCCATCCCTGCCACAATAACCGGTGACACAACACAACGCACAGCTGGTCCTACCTCATGAGCGAGCGTCACCCTCCTCAGTAAGCATGGACGTGCCGGATTTGTTGTTGGCGGTGCGTCTGCCTTCTTCAATTTTCTGCTTGCTTCTTTCCGTGTCTTCGAGGCCACGCCCCGCTGCACCGGGGCGGCGAGCATGGTGTGGTGGTTTTTTCCAGCGGATGCAACGGTCTTTTTACGTCACCGTCGTGGCTGACCTGTTGCGAGCCCAAGGGCGCATCTTCCCGCCATCGGGGTTCAAGATGTTCCATTACAGCAGCGGAGCCGTCTCATTCCTTTGTCCCCGCACCAAAGCATCGCCAAGGCGATTCGGACTTGGGATGAACAAGAGACGAACCGGCCTCGTTCTCGCCATGATCCTGCCTGCTTGGGTCTGGTTAGGGGCGCTTCCGCCTTCTTGAATTCCTTCATGATCAAGGGTTTGGGTTTCT